GTAAACAAATGTGCTAGCTACAACATCTTACTAACTGATGATAAGGTGTGTGATTGCCACCAGTCATCTTTTTATTTGTCATAGTGGTGAAAACTGTCTCTCCTGGCAAGATTCAGGAGAAACAACCTAGCAACTAAGCATTGGTCCAAAAGGCTAAAAATAATACTTTGCTCATCAGGAAGTGATGTGTTTATCATTTCAAAGTAGATTGCATCTCGCACCCCATAAGCATTAACCTCATGACAGAAATCAGATGTGTATTTCAACCTGGATATGCTCTTAGTAGAAATCTGTGTGTGTGATAAAGTAGCTGAATGTTGAAGCCGCGTTTTTTCCCCCTTAACTTTCAGTATGACTTAGCTTTAGAATAAGGGAAGAAGTACTGATTGGTTTACTGCAAACTGTTTTATGTTTTCCTGTGAAGAATGTACAACAACAGGGCTTTGAATGGTAATAATAGCACATGCCCCGGTCCTTTTAATTGAGCTCCAACTGAGAGCGCCTCAGCACCCAGCCCACTGACTCAGAGCGGAGCCATGGTGGTGGCAGCCTGGCAAGGAACAGCTCCTGGGGGAACCAGGATGGGTTTTCCTAGAATTTGTATTTAAAATTGTTATCCTTTGTTTTATTTTTAAATGTTAAATAATTTTATTGTTTGCAAATGGAATGTTACCCAAATAGTTATTTTTGTTTTGTTTTTTTCAATCAAACTATTAGGAGATACGAGCGTGGAAAAGGAAATCCATTAGCAGAACTTGCCAATAAAAACGTCACTTGTTTGGGTAGTTTTTATGGAGTGGTCTGTCATGATGATGTTACTGGTAAAAGTTCTCTTGGAAAATACAGAATTTTTGGATGATACTGGTGTAACAGCTCATTTTACTTTTTAATATATTGCTGCAGACACGCAACCATGAGCATCACTGGCTGTAAAATGTACAAAGGCAGGGGCTTGTGTGCCTACTAAGGGCACTGGTGTGCAACATACCTCCAAATATTAACCTTTTTAATGGCAGAGTGCACTTGAGGAGAGGGAGGACAGGGGCAGTGTCCTATCAGGAGAAATTTGAATGGTATTGCTAATGGGATTCATTCTCTCATTAAGAGTATTTACGGTGAACAGATAGGTAACCCACATAGTAACTTTCCCTGGAAGAATCCTTCACCACAGGAGGCAACTTTGTTCAGCAAAACCGTGTCAATTTTAGTATTAAATTTCATCTTGCACTGATTGTGGGCGTTAATGAGAGATCACTTAGGTGAAATATGCTGAGGAGGTTAGTGCTTGTCTATGCTTTAAATGCTCTAAACGATTATATGGGTTTGGGGGTCGGTTTGTTTTGTGATTTTTTGCACACTTTATTAAGAACTTTACATATATGTGTTTAAAGGAGGGAGTAGGGCCCAGAACCAAGTTTGTAAAAATAACGCATACATTTACATTCGGTAACCCGTACAGTGGGAGTTTACTGGGTGACGTTCCCCAGCTCACTGTGTTCGCCTCCACTGCCCCTTCAGCGTGCTGCTAGGTTTTAATAACTGTAGGAGACGACATGCTGCTGCTGTACCCCGCAGGATAAGGTTTGGGCTTTCTGTGGTGAGGGCTGGGACAACCCCGCGCCGCCGTGAGGGAGGAGGGCCGAAGCGCTTCTGAGGAGACATCTCGCGGAGGGGTGGGGTGGGCAGGGCAGCACGCGGTTGGCGCAGGCACCGTACCGGCCAATCAGGAGCTGGAGCGCTTCCCGTCGCAGCCAATGGGCTGGAGGCGCGGGCGGGGAGTGGCGGCTGGCGGCCGTTGAGCGCGTGCTCGGCGGGGTCGTTGTCGCCCGGCTGGGTCGGAGGCGCGGGGAACAGGCCCGGGCTCGGCTCTGGTACGGAGGCGCTACGGCGGGTGAGGGGGCTTCGCTTGGGCAGCAGGAAGGTTTGCTCAGCCCTCCCTGGAGCCGGGATGAGGGCTGAGCCGCGGTCCCCTGCCTGGGCGTTCCCTTTGGGCGGGCGGGGACACTGGGCTACTCGGAGGGATCCCCCCTTCCTCCCCGGGGGCTCGGCTGCAGCTCTCCACGCTGCGCTGTGATGTGGAAGCTGTGGTTTAATATCAGTGCCGGTTTCTAACCGGCTTGACTGTTGTTGAGCATCTGGCTGCGTCAGTAGTAGTAACAAGGTTATTGTTACTTAACTAGGACGTATATGTCTTAACTTGTTTTTAAGTAAAAAGTGGGGTGAGGGGAAAGCCACTTCTCTGTGATAATATGTTGTGATTTATGTATAGGCATCAGAGATGTACTTCGGTAGTGTTATGGGAAGATTTTTAATTTCACAGGTATAGTTGCTCAAAACCTCAGAAGGTGAAGGTAAAGTTAGTGTAATAAGAAAGCTAATGTTTTTGAAAAAAAAAACAACTGTAGAAGGGCATAATGAAATCATGGTGAGGTTTTTTTGGAGGGTGACTGACTTCTATTGATGCCTTTAGTTAAATGATTTAAATTATTTTTATTAAGTGATTTTTAAATGTTGTCATTTTAATGATGATCCTTAGCAGATGAGAATCAGTGGCTGCAGATTTGAAAGACAAGCCATTTTTCCCTGTGAGGAAGGGCTATCATGAAGTTATCTCTTAGGGGTCCATTTTGCAAACCTTCCTGTGCAGATATGAGGCCTGGGTCACACTGTTTATATCTGGAGCAGACAGAGCTCTCCTAACTTGTGTGTTAATCCCAGAGCAGCAGCCAAGAAACAGGCCTGAGTTTCCAGTCTCCCCTCATGCTCCACCAGCAGCCTGTGTCTCACTTCAGTACTTGAGGCCAATCTTATGAGGTGCTTCAGTACTTGAGGCCAATCTTATGAGGTTCAACAAGGCCAAGTGCCGGGTCCTGCACTTCGGTCACAGCAACCCCATGCAGCGCTACAGGCTTGGGGAAGAGTGGCTGGAAAGCTGCCTGGCAGAGAAAGACCTGGAGGTGCTGGTCGACAGCTGGCTGAATGTGAGCCAGCAGTGTGCCCAGGTGGCCAAGGCAGCTAATGGCATCCTGGCCTGTATCAGAAATAGTGTGGCCAGCAGGAGCAGGGAGGTGATTGTTCCCCTGTACTCAGCCCTGGTGAGGCCGCACCTCGAGTACTGTGTTCAGTTTTGGGCCCCTCACTGCAGGAAAGACATTGAGTTGCTGGAGTGTGTCCAGAGAAGGGCAACCAAGTTGGTGAGGGGCCTGGAGCACAAGTCTTATGAGAAGCAGCTGAGGGAGCTGGGGCGTTTAGTTTAGAGAAGAGGAGGCTGAGGGGAGACCTTATCGCTCTCTACAACTACCTGAAAGGAGGTTGTAGTGAGGTGGGTGCTGGTCTCTTCTGTCAGGTGGCTGGAGATAACACGAGAGGAAATGGCCTCAAGTTGCGGCAAGGGAGATTTAGGTTAGATATTAGGAAAAATTTCTTTACCGAGAGGGTTGTCAGACATTGAAATAGGCTGCCCAGGGAAGTGATTGAGTCACCATCCCTGCATGTATTCAAAAAGCACATAGATGGGGTACTCCATAACATGGTTTAGTGGGCATAGATGATGGTTGGGCTTGATGATCTTGAAGGTCTTTTCCAACCAATGATTCTGTGATTCACTCGGTTCCTTACGGACTGTGTTTCACCACGCTGGAAGCCTCCTCTGGAGGATGAACCAGTGACTTTTGTGTTTAGAAGCATGTGAAACCCAGCTTATGGGCCTGTTTGTTGGTCTGCATGCTCTCACAGGGGAAGAGTTACAGACAGGACTGCATTTTGCTGTGCTTTATATAAGATTATAGTTGGGTTAGAGACCTGTGACTATACTATAAAATTGTTATGTTTCATTTCAGTAGCTTAGAGCGCATACCTAACTGAGAAATATGTCTAACGTTTGTATGAGTCCCTCTCTTCATTATAAGCTTCTAGGGAAAGGCAGAGAAGAACTGACAACTATTTATAAGAAACAAGCTTCACAAAGAGCGTCTTCCATCCCTACATGCTCTTTCTCTGCTTTTCGTTCATGCTATGAAACTAGGTTTGTTGCAAGTCCACAGCAGGGGTATTGCTTTGCTTTGCTGTATTGTCCAGCTTTCTACAGTTGCTAAAAGAAGCGCTCTGATCCAAGAAACTGTCTTCCTGTTTTCCTTTATGACTTATACTTCCTGGCTGTAAAGATTCTCAGGTTTTCTGTGCTTAGTAACCATTTCTTCTTGTTTCCCCAGAATTAAAAGGAATATGCTTTCATTTCCCTTTTGTCCAACGCCTGAAGGGTTTTTAGTTCTCGGGAGGCACAGGGTTCTAAGTTCACCCCTTCACTCACTGAGGTAGTTTTAAAAATTGTTATAGCTCCTGGACTGAAAGATGTTCCCTACAGTAAATATACTGGTTATGGATCGAGAAGCTGTAAGCTTTCTGTGGCAAGGAGTGCTTACCAGCCAGTATACAATCAGGAACAATGTGAGGTCAGTTTGTGGCCACTGAATCCATGACCATTAGCATCTTCACTTTCAGAGTCAGTACGTGCATCTAAACACCTTCTGTGCTGTCTTGAACTTAGGGTATGATGTAAATAGATTGCTGTGTATCAACAGGGGTTCTGATGATTCAGCCAAGAAATGCTTCAGTGGTAAGATGATGGAAACCTTGCCCAAGAGTGTAAGGAAATAGGGTTGATTGTTCTCTGAGGATGCTTTTACACAATTGAAATGACACGAGCGAGAATGGCAAATTATTTTAACAGCCTTCTGTGAGCTCTTAGGATTTCCTTGAGAACATACTGTATAATTCCTAGCTTCTATACTAGCATGCAATAGGTGAAAATAAGATGTTTAATTTAACATATTTTTTAAACAGTAATGTTCTCTTGTATACTATGACATATCTCAAACTTCTCTTTATTTTTATTAAGGTTAGACACTGATAAGAAGAGACAAGCCATTGACTTGGAGAGGTTGCAGTGGAAGTGAGTTGTGTGGATTACTTCTGAGGAGGAGGGCTTAAGTGTTTGTACCATGGAATTAGAAAAGAACGGCAATGTTAAAAGCAAAAGGAGATGCTTCAGTCAGTCCTCCCATCTTTTTTCTTGCTCTGAGGAAGCTGAGCACACACTCATCAGAGACATTGCAGTAGGAGCTAACCAGTCTGGTTTTGACCAGGCACATTCTGCCAATGTTTCAGAATTAAAGTTGTCAGAGGAAAGCTTACCTTATTTAAGTTCATCTTTAGATGCAGACATTGAAATGTATACTAAAGAGAGAATGAGAATTTGCTGTGCACAGGTAGATGAAAGCAAGAAAGAAGCTGATATGTTGGGAAGGGCACGTGACAATATGCACTTCAATTGCGGGGTGTGTGATGATTGCAGACAAAGTCATTTAGGTGAAGATTCACAGCTAGAGTATCTCAGTGCTCACGAACAAGATTTTGATGATAGGAATAGCTCAAGTGAGTTTTCTGAGCAAAGGGAAACTATAGGAATCGAAACCTTAAAGCTGATAGATCCAGGTCATGAAGTTCCAGGTGGTGCAGTCACACAGAAACACAATCTCATTGGTGTGTCAGAAGATTGTTCTGCTTCTGAGTATGGTGTAGGTGACCAGACCTGCCCAGAAGCAGCTATGCCAGAGCTTCCCCACCTGCTTCAGGACTCTCTGTCTCTGCCAGATTGCAATGGCATGAATTATGATCATCAGGAAGAGCCAACAGAGTATCATAGTGTTGTTTGTGGAAATATACTTGAAAGTCATTCATGTGGGAATAGAGAAAGGGTCTGTCCAAATCGGCTTGTATGTGGCAGTTTAGAAAATGGAGAGGTGAAAGACATACCACTGATGGACAGCATACTGCCACCCCAAATTGCTACAAGCAAAGAAGTGTCTGAAAAGAATGATAGACACATTCACAGTGTCTCAGTGAAACAAGACAATCCTTTACTGTCAGCAAGGGCAAGGGCCCCTGCAGTAGCCATGCAATTTTGCAAACTTGCAGGGGATTCTGATTTCTACAGTTGTGAAGAATCTGGTATGTGTGCACGTGGTACCAGCTGCCTTGACTGCACTGCAAAGGATGCTGAAACCCAATTTCCAGTCTCTGCAATTCTCCCTAGCAAGAACCCCTTTTTTGGGGTGGAAGTTGCAGATAAATCCTCCCATGGAAATACCAGCTGTCTGAACTTGGAGCATCATGAAACCTTGAAAAATGTTACCAGTGACTCTATGGTTAACCAGGCTGTTGATGCGAGTTCTGATTTTAGAGCTTGCTTTACAACAAGCAGAAGTACCAGTGCTCAGGTTTGTCTCTCGTCCAGGGCTACTAATACAGAGATAACAATGATGAACAAATCTCGACCCGTGGGATGGTGCCGTGAAAGGTGTGCAGACGTTGCTTGCAATACAGACTGGTCATGTGGAGCTGGTAGCACAGAGGAAATTCCATTGCAGCTTACTGACACACTGGAAAAACGTTCAGATGGCAATACTGCAACAGCTGAAAGAAGTTCACAAATTCAGGTAATTTGAAAAAAAAAAAAGCACAACCAAACAATTTTGATATACAGAACTTTTTTAACTCGAAGTTGCTCTGAGCTTGTCTATACAAATGTTAATCTGTAACTTTTTAAAATGTTTTTTGTTTAGGAACAGTGGGAATCAAAAAATGAGCTGTGTAGCAGTGATTTAAAGATAAGCACTGACAGGTGGGTCGCGAATTGTTCTTGGCTTGGAATTCTAGGTGCTGGATAAGATTCGTTTCATGATCGAAAGGTTGTCTGTGACTTAGCAAAACTTATGGCATTAAAAAATTGCTGGGCAGCAGTTCCTGCACTGGAGGGTAGGAAGGGACCTGGATAAGTGAGAAGAATGAACAGAAGATCTGAAGTTGAACAAAGACCAAAGCAGCCTCAGTTTGCAGTTGCAGACTACCCAAAAACAAGTCGAGTGTAAGTCAGCAGTGCTCCCATATGGCAAAGGGAAACCGCATCCTGGGGCTGCATTAGCAAGAGTGCAGCCAGCAGACGGAGGGAAGCATTGATTCTTCTCGGTTTGGTGCTCCTGAGGTTGCATCTGCAAAGGTATCTCCAGCTGTGGGCCTTGTAGTGCAAGAAAGAGCTTGGCAGACTGGGGAAAGCCCACCGGACAGCCCCAGAGATGGTGAGGGGAGCTGGTGGAGCACCTGATGTGTGGGGAGAGCTGAGGGAACTGGGTTTGGTCAGCCAGGAGAAGGGAAGGCTGGGAAGGTGGGGAACCTCCCTGCAGTTCTTGGCAATCAGGTGGTGGCTTGCAGAGAAGACTGTGTCAAATTCTTTGCAGAGGTGTGTTTTGAAAGGGCAAGAGCCAGTGGTTAGAGTGGGGGGAATTCTAAGTGGGTGTGAGAAAAAGTTTCTTACAGTGAGAGTAGTATTGGTACTGTCTCCTTTCTTGGAGATTTAAAACAAACAAAAAAACCCTGAACCCAGCAACAAAGCTGGACTGGCTAAGACCCTGAGCTAATTTTGAAGTTACCCCTGCTTTGAACAGAGATTTGTATTGCAGACCTCCAAAGATCCTTTCCAACCTAGATTACTCTGTGACTGTGGACAAAAATAGGTGTCTCTGTAGATCGACAGAGTTGCTAAGTTGCTTTTTGTTCTTACAGCCGCACTTTTTGGATAGAAATGATTATGGTGCTCGTGCAGTTCCCACCCCTCATTTAAGGCTGATGATAATGTGATAGCTGCTGTAAGACATCATTTTTTCTGTGCAGTAAATAGGAGGAACTGATTCATTTTTCTTTTTTTCCTTAAATAGTATCAGAAATAGCTTCTGGAAAGCTACTTGTTTCAAAATAAAACATAATGAATGTAAAATATTGGTTCAAGGGTTCAAGATTTTGTTTATTATTATTATTTTAAAGGCCAGTACACCTTGACAAACAAGCTGTGAAGAATTCTACATCAAGCTACTGTCACAAAATACTGCAGAGAGCAATTGAAGCAGAACTGCAGATTCTAAACATTCATTATCAGATGTGTTATCAGCACTGCTTGAAGATTTACAAACTGGCTTTGGAGGAAAACACAGGTTTTAGCAGGCACGTACTTTAGTGTCCTTTTAAATGAAATGGATAACTGGGTTAAAAGGCATTAACTGCTAAATGGTACTGATGTATTCTATCCATAGCTGGTAATAATGTTTATAGTTAGCATTGTTGTCCAAAGGAGTTTATGTTCTCATAACTGCCAAGTCTTATTTTCAGCCTAAAATCTTCTGTAGCATTCACAGACCCAGCAAAATACAGTTTGTTTCCAGGAATGTCCTTCTGTACAGGAGGAAAAGTACAGAAGGAGTAGTACAGAGAATCCATTCAGGAGTGGATGAGATGCATAGAGGGGGAGCTGGGGAGGAGGTGGTAAAGAAGAAAGAGAGAGGGTGCAGAATTGTTAAGAGGTGAGGCAGGAAGGCGGTAGCGATTGCAGAGTCTCTAGCTGATAAAGCATACACCCTGTAACGAACCTGGAATTCAACCAAGAAGTCCTGCCTCTGAAGACTTTACTGTGCCATGGATAGCTATAAGACCTCATTACTATAGTGTCTGCTCCGTAGCTTAGGAGAGGGTTCAAGAGAGCAGGGTGTAATGCTGTGAAACAGAGTATGGCTCCAGAGAGCTACTGTGCATGTTAGGAGTGAGCTCATGTTCTTGTGCAATGTGGAGGAGTCTTTAAACACTGTAAAATGTTTGGGTGGTTCTGGAAGCAGCAAAATAAATGAAATGTCTGTCTAAGTGGATCTTATTTTTTTATACGCATTTTAACAGATGTAATGGAAATGCTGAATTACGTTCATCTCTCATGTTGGTTTTGCAAGAGGTAAAAAAGAATTACAGCAGTATGAGAATGAAAATAAAAATGGGCATACCTTTAAATGTGCTTCCACCGCTATCAGTTGAGATGAAGTTGTTCCCAATCTCTTCCTCTTATGTCCCCTGCAAGGTAATTTCTTAATTGCTTTTTGTTTTTAATAAAAATTGTTTTCTTAAGAAAATTAAGACAAATCTTTTCTTTCTTGACAGTTGTTCAGAGAGGATCTTTGCTATGAGTAAGTAGTCCTCATTTGTGGTTTTTAGTAAAGTTCAAAATAAATGAGAACTGAGTTTAAAAGATGTTAAACTTAGAATTTCTTTATTTCAGGATGTATCTTATTGCTCCAAACTGTTTAGCTGAAAGACTAGCATAGCAATTTGGGTACAGTGATTTTATTTTAAGGAAGTTTTTACTCTGTAGTGTTCTAGCATGCAAACTATGGAGTTGTAGTTTTACTATCTTTATAGCAGAAGTGTTCAATTTACAGGTAATTTTCCTGGTTCCCTACTTTCACTAGTTAAAATCTATGTCTCTAATCTTAATGCTCTCTGTCTTAAAACAAACAAACAAACAACCCCCCCCCCAAAAACAAAAAAAACACAAACCAAACCAAAAACAAACAAACAAACAGAACCCACAAAAACCCCACCAAAACACAAAGACTTCGCTGCCAACATCAATAATATTAGGCATATAAGCAGCTGTTCTGCTAAGATTATCATTCAGTTATGGAGAATGATAAAAAAATAACTTCATATTTCTGGCGGACATGGTACTGCATGTTCAAGAACCATGTGCAGTTACTTTATCTAAGTGGAGATCAAAACAAATTTGGCAAGAAATTTTAACTGCATCAGGTAAACAACCAGAGACCTTTTTCAAATTTCTTGTTAAGTATTAGTAAAATGAATCAAAAATTGCACGGAGATTACAAATTGTGAAGATATATACCAAAACATCACACAGAAAGCCATCTAGGTATAAAGGAAAAGCAGCCTAACATAAACCTAGAACATAGCTTTATGTTTCAGGTTGCCACCAATGCATTTATAAAATACAGGTATCAAAAATCTTTTCTTCTCACTTTAAGCTAAGAGTTATTAAGCACATTCTATTTATTTACTGTGAGGTTTTGGAAATATTTAAATTAATATTTCAGAGTACTCAGTATCATTGTAAAATTTAAAATCATTGTGCCCTATTTTGTATGAAATTCTTGGATCTGTTTTAGTTCTGTTTCAGGCACAAGAAAAGCTGACTTTGAAGTACCAAAACTGCAAGAAAGGAAAAGTTCTGTCAACATGGTAGGGACTACTACTTCTTTCCTAGACATTATGTTGTGAAACATAGTCTTCTCTTAGGTATATGTAAATACAATCACCATCTTCACGGCTCGAAGTGGGATTCTCTGCCAGTAATTGCAAATGCAGCTGATGTGACCAAAATTTTGATCATCCTTTCAAAATGAAATAACTTGGGGGTTCTTGAAGATGATCAGTAGGTTAACTTTTTAAAATTTACCTGTTTAATCATTTAATATCCTGAAGCTCAGAAAAATAATGTATAATCAGGTGCAAGTGCTACGACGTAACTGAAACATGTTTGTAGGACAATCCACAAACTGTATGTTTAACTGGTGGCTGTCAGCCGAGTGACTGTACTTCCTCCAAGACATTTGAAGAACAACATAAAGATCAGGACATGGAATGTGGTAAGCAATCTGCTTCCAGTACAAATACTGTATTATTTGTTAGTTAATTTGTTGGAAAAAAAAACCCAAACCCTGTATAAAACATATATATGGATACTCAACTGTCCTTTCTGTGATGGAATGCTTAACATTGTAACAGCTCTATGTTATATTTTACATCTTGGAAAAAAAAAATTTTGCTGCTTAAATCAGAAGTGAAAACTAGTATGTGTCACCTCTTTGTAATGTAGTACCAAGTCATGTAGGTAGATGGAATCCTCTTAAGCACACAGAAATTTGCTGCTCATTCATATGACATACCACGGTCTGAATTTTAACACACTGAAATCTATTTCAACTGTCAAGGCTGTGTGAAAACTGAAGAAAGGAATGAATACTGGTTTGATGCTAAAGAGGAGTTGACAGTAGCAGATTTTTCAGTAATATCTGAAGAAACAAAAAACCAACAAGAAAAACAAGACACAGTTGATTTAAGAGGTGAGGTTGTGTGCTTTAAGCTGCCATACCTAATAATGGTGTTTATTATTTGAGTATTCTATTCCTTCTACAAGCATAAGTAAACTTGGAAAAATGCTAGCTGAGTTTTCAGACTTATTTTTTCATTGACTTGCAGTGAATGCTTGTGCAGATATTCAGCTCTTTTCATCCATGTTTTTCCTTGAAAACTTGACCTAAAGTGGTTAAACTCAATTTAGTCAATGTCCAGCCAATCATGTAGCTCTAAATCTTTCTTTTTTCTCTTCCTTCTCTTCCTGCTTCCTTCCCCATACTGGCTTCTTAAGAGATAGCTGGGAATGGTCTGTGTTTTGAGACTTGTGTCCTGGTGATGGGCATGGTTAGAAGTCCCAGGCTGTTGAAAGCAGAGAGTTTGTGTGCTCCATGGTGGGCACTCACAGTTCAGTACCCATACTTTAGCACTGGTACCTGTTAGTTCAGACCAGTGTTTTCTCTGGCTGTACCTCTTCTGCTTCTTCAAACCTTAGGAAATACTCAGGGAAAAGAGACTTCATGAACTGAACTGTTCTGCTTCTCAGGATGCTCATTTTCTGTTAGAATACCTCTTCATTCTTTTAGGTTTTTTTAAAGGTTTTCTATCTACGCTTTCTGAAATCTACAGAGAAGATGTTATCTTGAACTGAAACAAGAATAGTTAGTAACACTTTGCTTGCTTATGTTTATTATTAGAAGTGAAGATAATGGAGAGTGGAAATGAGTGTTCTTTTATTCGTGTTGGTGGCCTAAATTCCTCAGTGTCAGAGGTATGCCTGTTCTTACTTACATAGTAGTAGTATTATTTTGCCTTTTCTCTGAATTCTTTCACACTATACATTTGCAACCAAATATGCTTCTATTTTGTAGGGTGATTTAAGATCACATCTCCAGAAGTATCAAATTTCTGACACTCTTACCTCTGTGGATTCTAGTAACTACAGGTATATTAATATAAGTTTTACTTGTTTCAGGCTTTTTTTCTGTCAAAGTAAGTGAATGATGGGAGAGAGGAGGGAGTTATTCTTTAATTTGTTTCAGTAATTAATGTAGCTACAGATAGGTTGACAGAAACTTGTCATTCCAGACAGCTTCTCATGAGAAGTTAAGGAGTCTGAAATGTTCTGTGGAGTTTAATGGAGATACAGTTAATATTCAGAAGACGGGAACCATGATGTGTTTTACTTAGTTTCCTTTTTTTTTTTTTTTTTTAATTTTGTGCCTTAGATACACATTTCTTTCCTTTAAAGACACTAATAAAGCAAAGTTAGCTGTAGAGGAAATGAACCAGAAAAAAATAAAAGGAAAACCAGTAAGTGTTGAACTTGTAGATACTTCATCACAGAATAAATATTTGGTTTCCCAAGTACTTGCAAATAAGCTTTGGCATGAAAACCAACCTGTTGATAACAGTCAAAGAAATCATCAAGACAAAACACTCGCTTCAGCCTCCAATTCTGTGAAAGCACCTGACGCCACCTCTGCTTCTGAGAAAATGCATCTCCTTCCCATAACTTCAGAAATTTCTTGCTCTACACAAGTACATTCAGAAACAGAGTGCACTGGTCTGAAATCATCTACTGAAGATTCAGTACATTATTTACTTGGAGTTAATCAAAAGGTAAATAATTATTACTAAGGCTCCTTCATATGGCAGGTTAAGAGCCTTAAAACTTCTTGTCCCATAACATGTTACATTTAATATATATAGAATAATGTTAGGATAGGAAAACATGTTATGTGTCAGTAATAAATTTCTGGCATGCTGCAGAAGAGTGAAAGCACTATTCATTTGCCCCTCCATCAAATTGTGATATTCCATCTTTTTTTCTTAATCCTAAGCCAGTTGGGAACCTAGCCATTTGCACTAGATTTTTCATCTTGCTTTTCTCCTCTTTTGAGTTTCCACTTCTAACACTTTTTTTATGTGAATATCTTGTGATTTCATACCAGAAAGATTTTGGGGTACTGGAGGGGAAACTCAAGTCTTTTTAAATACACATCTAAGGAACATTTATGTATAAATACAGTATTTTGTATTCGGTCAGGTTGGTCCTGGGAGGATAAGGCACAGTTAGTAATTGCTGGTGTTGCTCTCATAAACTATATAGATATGCTGCCTTTGGGGATTTAACTTTAAATATGCTAGTCCTCTGGGAAATATAAATCGGATTAATTTAAAGTAGCAGGAATGTCAGTTGTACATAAATGCATGTAGCAGTTTTATTTCTAATTTACAGGTTGGGTAATATGGCTGGTTGTATTAGAATAATTTATTGAACTGAATCTGTATCTGTCATTTTTTCTTTTTCCATAACAGGAATATTTGTTAGTAGTAAAGATATGCTGTATTACTTGTACAGTTCTTAACCCATTCACTTTTTGCTTATTTTGATGCAATTCTAGGATACTGGAGAAAATTTCCTGCAGAAAACATCTGCTCCTTTCTCCACTAATTCATATGATGCCTTTATTTCTCCTAATACGTTGAACTTGAGCAGCTTTACCAAATTAATGAAGAAACTTCAAGAAATTCATCCAGAGGCTAGCAGGTGAGAGTATTTGGATTTCATTTCTGCCCTGATTTGTAATGGATCCAATATCCGTGGTAAATAAGTGCTAAATGTATTGCATAAAATGTGATCTAAACAGTTATTTCTTTTATTCACATAGAGACAAAATTGTGGATGCTCTGCTGGAGGTGAGGAGAAACAACAAAGGTATCCTAAGCGGCTTGTCCATCAATTCTATTGCAGAAAGGACCTCTGTCATTCTGAGAAAATCGATGCCCAGTTGTGGGTGGGAAAAGCAATGTAAATAAGTGAGTATTCTAGCCTACAGAAGTATATTGAAATAAAACCACTTGAATTTGTGTAGCTGTCTAGCCTGACTAGGTTAGTGAGTAATTTAGTATAAAGCTCTGCAAGTACCTGAATGAATCCACTGAAACGATGGTTTTTAAGGATTGTTAGCTGTTTTGCAGAACATCTGTAAACAGATTGGCTTGCTACCTCTACGCACTCTATAAAACTTGGTGTACTGGGGGTTTTATTATGCAAACTGTTTTATTGATTAACTTAGTGGAGAACGTCATCACACATACTCTTTACAAAGGTGACACCTAATGGCCAGTCCTTGTGTAGCATTTCATAAAGAAATCCCAGCGTAGGCTGTTTTGGTTTAAAAATTGGTGATTTCTGTCTGATATATGAGATTCAGTTCTGGACTGAAAATCTAAGAGTAAGATTGTATGTCTTTTAGTTTTTTCATGTTAAAGGAAATCTTGCATGATGACACAGCACTGGATGCTGCAGGAAGCTGCAGCAAGCTGAACATGCTAAAACCACAGCCCAGAATTCCAGGGACATGTACATATATTCTCCTGTAGGAGACATCCTTGAATTGGCACTTGTTTCAGTTTCCTACTAAGCTTGGTATTCTGCTTGCTTTAGGGCTGCTAGCAGTGCCACTACCAGGTTTCCCGCACTGTCCCATATGTTCTTAGCAATGCTCCAGCTTTGCTTTTGCCCACAAACACAATCTGTACGATATTTATTTTTCTGTCGTGTTTCTTCTCCAAACTGCACCAAATTCTTAATGCTCTGGTTTTGGTTTCAAAGCTCCTGTTTCAAGGATGTCAAGGAGTCAGTTTGGTTTTAATTGGTACCGCCTCTTCCAAGACGAGTAGTATTTATGCTGATAGTTTTACATATCTCCAGGTATCTTTCCCACCCACTGAATGTTGCTTAGACTGAATTCTCTTGGTCAGGTGCCTATGCATGTGTTACTGTAGTGCACGAGTAAACCATAACACAGCTTGAACTTGAACAGAACAGCTGAGCATTACATAGTAGAACTATAACAGAAGTAGAGCAATTCTGCACGGTAAGATGAAGCAGAAGCCTGGGCTAGAAGAGTTTCCGTAGATGCATTAAATATACAAACAGATGCTTATAGTCCTTGTTCTGGGAAGTAATATCAGTGACTAGAAAAGTTCTTCAGAAAGACTGACTGTAGGTTGTGATGAATACACAGAGACATAGGATAGGATTTTAAATACAGCACAAGATCATACTTCCCATAGTGATGAAGAGGATGAAAGCATCTCAACCAATAGGCATGTTTGGCTGAGTTCCTTTCGAAAGGATTACTGTAACATAAGTTTGTTAGTTTGGCACTTGGCTGCCCTGTGAGCTTTTACAGATGCCTCTATGAAGCAAAATAAAATCTAAAAAAGCGAAGTTTTCATATTAATCTACAGACTGACTTCCACAGGACTGCAGATATGGACATAAACTCATTTAAAAAATAAATCTTACACTCGAAAGTATTTTCACTTAGGTTTTAACAGCCTCAAATGTGTTGTGCTTTCCTTGTCAAGTGACTTTTTTTTTTTTTTTTTTTTTTAAATGGTGTGTGGGCTTTACAGTTGTGATTGTTCCTATGATAGTATTTTTTCTTCTGTTGCTTTGCTAAAGAGATGATGACTTATAACGATTTTTACTTTCATCATGAGGGAGCTGTGAAATAGCCAAGTCAGTAGTAAGTAACGGGGAAAAAGAATTCTCATCTTCCCATAGTAAGAAACAAGTATGTAATATGTTTAAGAAAAGATGATTCTGCTCAAAGCTCATCTACACTAATTCTGGTATGTGTGTAGCTTCAGACTTTCCTGAAGTGTAAGTGTCCACTGAGAAATACCACCTTAGAGCCTTATGTTCTTGCAAGCTGATGAAAAGTCCAGAGTTGTACAGATAATACTCTTATGTCAAGCTGTATTACATACTATTTAATGTATAACAACTTAAATTCAAGCTTTAAAGTAAAGCACGATATAATCTTGCTTTTTTTCTTTGGCTGACTTAGCCCAGAGTTGGATATCTGAATATTTATAGATCTTGTATATTTGTTAATTTTGAAGGAGTAACTTCATTAGAAATGGGAAGTTAGGTTTTGGACTGGAAAGTCCTTTTATTCTCATTAGTGAGCAGCTGTCATATGTACCTGAGCAGCATGCTTAACCTTTTTCTGTTTTCTAAACCTCATGGTAGGCAGCACTTAACAGGAATCATGATGCTCTAAAAGTTATTCAGTGCAGCATTAAAAATGGCTCTTTCCGTAAATTTTATCAGTACCAAATGTCCATGCTTGGAAGCTTTTTGTGAAATTAATAATCTGCATAGTAAAAATTTAAAAACAGACAATGGAGAGGGGTCTTATTGAAGCATAACTAAAACAGTGCTTTGAGAAATGTAAAGAAATGCATAGAATCTACGTCCTCCTAAATGATGATTTGATAACTTAATTTTGAATTAATTGAATTAATTAAAAAAATGACCACCAGATATGACTTGTTGCACAAAGATTATATATTTTATTTTACTGTAGTCATTTCTTTCATGTGATTCTTGAAGCTAGGAAACCTCACTCTCCTGTGTATTTCTGCAGTACATAGCAAAATTATTATAGATTCTAGTGGTTTTCTGAGGTATTAAAACTGCTGATGTTCCTTTTATTTCAGTTTGAATGTGTACATGGAAAATTTACCTGCTGCTTTTTTGTGTGTGTGTGTGTTTTGTTTTCTTTTTTCTTTTTAAGTAGATGGCCTTCCGATTATGAAGAATCAGTCATCTCCCTTTGGAGGATTTTTGCAACTTCTATACTCCAGCTTGTTCCTAGATTGTACTGTGGTTTTTGTTTGATTTATTTCAGCAGATCTTAATGAAAACTCATGTAGCATCACTATCACATGCAGTCTTATCCAAGAGAATATAACCTGAAGGTCAGTTTGAGGTGTTTTTCTGTTTATGCAGATATTCAGTGATTCCTCCTGGTTTTTTTGTTCAGCGTAGTTGGTTCAAGCATTTCAGCAGGTTTCTCTAAGGTAGAAAGATCACACTTCAGTGAAGCAAGACTTCTCTAATACCGGCTGGGCGTTTCTAGGCTGAAGTGCACAACCCCCCATTCTTGCATGCCACTTAATTTTAGGCATGGTGGTAGCTGCTAGGATGTTAATAAATAGCCAACACGCTTGTGCTTTCCAGATAATCTGATTCTGAATAGTCTGTAGAAATTCCATGTATCCTTTGAATACCAGGGAGGCGCGGGGGAGGCAGTGAGAGCTTCATTTTAGAAAACCAGGCTTCGGAGCTGGCAGCGCTGGTGGACGTGGTTACGTAATCCCGTGCTGTAATAGAGTCATCTCGTGTCAGTTTTGACTCAGAAGTGTGTTGCAGACTGCAGAGCGGTAGTATGGCCAAACGTTTCCTTCAGGATGAAGCCTAGATTTTAATTCCCCCCCCCCCCCCCCCCCCCGAACATGGCATTTTGTTGTCTCATATTCCACTTCTGTTGCTGGAAGCAGAGGATGGGCTTCTAAATCCTTTTTTTGTGTCCCATGGCCTGGTATAGTGGGAATGACATACTCGCTGAGATTTTTAGTTTGAGTTGGTACAGGGGGAGGAAGAACGCTGGGAGCATTCAGTCTTTCATCTTTGCTTGTGTTGTTACTGTAGAGAAGAGGTCTAGATTTTAAATCCTCTTCTGGTAAATGAAGGAAAGGCAGCTTAGGTGTACGTGTCTGGTCAGAGGGCGAGGAGAATTATCCTTGATTGATGTGGACAGGCTCATGCTGTGATATAGCATGACAAGGTAGTACATTGCTGCTGTCCATCGCTGTCTCTTTGTTGTACTTCGTTCTAGATCCCGGCTGCATTTGCTGCTGAAAATAGCAGCCTTACTTACCTGCAAATAAAGGTTCAAATTCCCTCTTCAAAAATCTGTGTGGGTGTTTTGCTGTTTTCAGATCTCATCCGTTCCCTCTCCTCTTAGCAGAACCCCTGTCCGTAATGCTTTCAGAGCCCCAGCCTTGTCGTTGACAGCCAGTGCTGTAAACTTGGTCCTGAAGCTGCAGGTGAGGCCTCAACATTGGTTTCTTCCCTGTTTGCATCCCGATGAAAGGGGCGATAGGCTTTGCTCTGCCACATTATTAACAGCAAGTGCTGCCCTTTGTGTTCCACAGACTTGATTCTGTAATTAGTCGGGTGTTACTAATAGTTTAGGATAGAACTGGCTTTCTGGCATGCAAGCTGTTTTGTTTCTCTTGAGAAAGCAGAAACGGGTACAATGTGAAACATTCAAGTTAGCATGCCGTTCATGCAAGTTTTCTTGTTTCTTGTTCTTCTTAAAATGTGGGAGAACCAGTTTGTAGGGCAGTGACCTCCCTGCAGCTGGAGCCCTCACCCACTGGGACGATACCCTCCTAATGGCATATCCTAATCCCAAATGTGCTCCTGAAGAGCCCAAGCAGGCACTCATGTTCAGGCAAGGCCAAAATTTAGCTATCGGCTGTAGGTGGAGCTGTACTAGCTCAGTTAATGATTTTCCACTCAGTTAAAAAAAAAATAAACCTGTAAAATATTTATTTTCCTTGCATTTCATCCTCTGTGTTCATATTCAGCGCTGTAAAAAGAAAGGGAAGGGATGGCTTTCAGCCTTAGGCTAGAGAGAAGTGCCTT